CACGCCTTCTGAACAGGGCTGACAGGCTGAGCGAGCACGACGCTGTCGTACAGAGAGCTGGTGGTCAGGTAGGATGTCAGGGCTGTGAGTAGAGGCAGTGGTCCAGGTTCATAGACACTGCCGTAGCAGCGTGGCTCAGATGGTCTTCAGACAGCTACACTTTGCTGCACAGCGTCCCCCGCATGCCAGCAACTGTGTGTAGGATGACTGAACCTGGTGTTTCAGGAGAAACTCGACCCCACTGGGAAGTGAGACACTGCTAAAAAGTTCTTTATGTCTCTGAGGCCAGGTGCTAACTAACGTCCTACTGATATGGAAAAAGAAAAACAACAGTTTGGAAAGGGTCGGTGACAACTGTTGAAGGTGGAATCTAGTACGGGAGAAAGGGCTCCCAATGATGGCAACTTAGATTCTGAAGATTTTCCTGCCAAAAGCAAACCTCTGGGCACATTTGCAATCCCATAATTAAGACTGATGATAGCATCATAAAACAGTGGTATTATCTTCAGAGGAGAATGTGAGGACGCCTCCTATCCTGAAAGCAAACTGACTCAGAAGTCGGGCACATGGGAGACTGCTAGGGGAGGCATAATGGTCTCGCTTCCTCTCTGCACAACCACCCTATGAACAAAGGCTGCTAAAGAAGCCGCAAGGAACGATGGGCTGGAAGCTTCCTTTGCACGTGACACCATGCCAATTAAGTACACTTAATGTGTTGCTACAGACAGCCTCCAGATGTGATCTTAAACAGTGACACTGCCCACCTCACTTTAGAGAACCTTGGCAGCTAATCCTGTTAAGGAACAGAAGTGTCATCTCTTGGTTAAATCCCTGAACTACTTACTCACTTTATCAAACAGGATTCTTAAACCTACCATTTTTGTTCCATCAGTAAACCTAAAGGGTTTCCATACTCAAATGCCTTTGCCAACTCAACAATCCTAGTTTTATTATTTATTTATATATATGTTTAAATTTTTATTTATTTGAAGAGCAGGGAGACAGAGACACAGAAGCAGAGAGAGAGAGATCTCCCATGTGGTAATTCATTCCCCCAAATGCCTTCAAAGGCTGGGGAACTAGGCCAGGTGTAGGCCAGCAACCAGGAACTCCATCCAGATATCCCAAGGGGATGGAAGGGACCCAGCTTCTCAAGCCATCACCTCTGCCTCCCAGGGTATACATTAGCAGAAAGCTGTAATTGGAAGTGCAGCTGGGGCACAAACCCAGTTACTCTGATATGGGTTGCAGGTATCCCAAGTGGCATCATACGTGCTGCCTCAAATACCTGCTCCCAGTCCTGGTTTTAAAGTTGCAGTCTGATGTCCTGTGACCCCTCACTCCCCAGTGCTTGGTCATCTCAGCACAGCACAGGGGCCCTGCTCCTAGCAACTCCTAAGCTCCCCATTATCCTCCCTTCCACAAGCATTTAATCCCTTTACTGTGTTTTTAAATAGAAATTACTGCATGTTTTAAAGAGAAGAGCACCGGAAGGAAGTGACAGAGAGTGACACACATATGGGGACTATACAAATTCATAGTAATTTTTTGTAGTTTTTAACCTTTGTATATTGCTTTATGTTTTTCTGCTTATTGTGGGAAATGGGAAAAATAGAGAAAAGTATAGAGTCAGATTGTTTCCACATAATTCTTTCTGATATATATATATATATATTTAATTAGGCAGGAGAGAGAGAGAGAGAGAGAGAGAAAGAGAGAGAGAGGGGCTGGCGCCGTGGCTCACTAGGCTAATCCTCCGCCTTGCGGCGCCGGCACACCGGGTTCTAGTCCCGGTCAGGGCGCCGGATTCTGTCCCATTTGCCCCTCTTCCAGTCCAGCTCTCTGCTGTGGCCAGGGAGTGCAGTGAAGGATGGCCCAAGTCCTTGGGCCCTGCACCCCATGGGAGACCAGGAGAAGTACCTGGCTCCTGCCATCAGATCAGAGCGGTGCGCTGGCTGCAGCACGCCGGCCGCGGCGGCCATTGGAGGGTGAACCAACGGCAAAAGGAAGACCTTTCTCTCTGTCTCTCTCTCTGTCAGAAAAAAAGAGAGAGAGAGAGAGAGAGAGAGAGAGAGAGAGAGAGAGAGAGAGAGAAAACAAACACTCTCATCTAATTCATTCCCCAAATGCCTGCAATGACCCGCTAGACTGGGCTAGATCCAGGAACTGGGAGCATAATCCAGGTCTCCCACATGGGTGGCAGGAACTCAACACCTATTCCATCGTCTGCTTCCTTTCAGGGCCTGAATTAGCAGGAAGTTGGAGTCAGGAGTTGGAACTGGGATCAAATGTTGTACATGGTACTCCAACGTGGAACACTGGGGTTTTAACCAGTGGCTTACCTACTATGCTTGCCCCTCTAGTGTTTATTGACTTGGGGTCAATAAAAAAAGGGGAGGAGGGGGATGGGGGAGGGGGAGAGGGGGAGAGGGGGAGAGGGGGAGAGGGGGAGAGGGAGAGAGGGGGAGAGGGAGAGAGGGAGAGAGGGAGAGAGGGAGAGGGAATCTTCTATTTGTTGGTTCACTCCTGCCCAACTGGGGCCAGGCCAGGCTGAAGCCAGGAGCTAGGAACTCAGGTTCTCCCATGTGGGTGGTGGGGATCCAACTACCTGAGCCAATACCTGCCACCTCCCAGGTGTGCATTAGCAGGAAGCTGGAACCAGAAGTGGAACTGGGACTCAAACCCAGGCATTCTGTTATAAGACATGGGCATCCCAAGCGGCATCTTAACCACTGTGTCAAATGCCACAATGCTTGTTTCCAGTAGTTATATCCACTGCATAGCTACAGGGTTCTCTTACTAATCATCCCTCTAATGACTGACATTTTAAAATAACATAGCAGTAAACAGTCTTGCCTGTGTTTACACTGTTTCTGTTGGATTGATTCTTGGAAAAGTATTAGGACAGAGTTTAAGTACTTTACTACTTGGCTACAGATACAACACACAGAGAGAAGGAGAGGCAGAAAAAGAGAGGTCTTCCAAGCCGGCGCCGTGGCTCAATAGGCTAATCCTCCACCTTGCGGCGCCGGCACACCGGGTTCTAGTCCCGGTTGGGGCGCCGGATTCTGTCCCGGTTGCCCCTCTTCCAGGCCAGCTCTCTGCTATGGCCAGGGAGTGCAGTGGAGGATGGCCCAGGTGCTTGGGCCCTGCACCCCATGGGAGACCAGGAAAAGCACCTGGCTCCTGGCTCCTGCCAGGATCAGCGCGGTGCGCCGGCTGCAGCGGCGGCCATTGGAGGGTGAACCAACGGCAAAGGAAGACCTTTCTCTCTCTGTCTCTCTCTCTCTCTCACTGTCCACTCTGCCTGTCAAAAAAAAAAAAAAAAAAAAAGAGAGGTCTTCCATCCACTGGTTCACTCCCAATTGGTCACATCAGCCCAAGCTGCACAGATCCGAAACCAGAAGCCAGGAGCTTTTTCTAGGTCTCCCACATGGGTGCAGGGGCCCAGGGACTTGGGCCATTCTCTACTGCTTTCCAAAGCCATAACAAAAAGCTAGATAGGAAGTGGAGCAGCTGGGACTCAAACTGGTGCCCATATAGGATGCCAGCACTGCAGGAGGTGACTTTTCCTGCTACACCACAGCGCCAGCCCCAAGACACTTTTGTAAGTGATGATACCAACCATTTAGCCCATCCCTAAAGAACTGAGGCTCCTGGGACTTCAACTGTGGCAGTGCATTTTTTACATTATTAAATGAAGAAAAATAGGTGGTCTTTAAATACTTTTTTAAGATTAGCAACCAAAATGAAGTCAGAAGGAGCCAAACCAGGAGTGTAAAAGGAGTGCCTGGTGATTTCCCAGCTATGCTCTGGCAAAGGTGCCCTTCGTTGATGAAAGGAATGAGCAAGAGCATTGTCATGGTGGAGGACTCTCTGAGCAAACTTTCCGGGGCATTTTTCTGCTCTAGCCTTAGCTAACTTTTTCAAAACACTCCCCTAATTGTTCTTTGTTCCTCCAGAAAGTCAACAAGCGAAATGCCTTGAGCATCCCCAAAACTGGTGTCACGACCTTGGTCATATTCTGCCTACTTTTGCCCTGACTGCTTTTACTGAGTGACAGGATTGCTCTGTGTTGCTCATTACTGTATTTCTAGTTCCTACAATAGTTCCTGACACACAGCATTCAATAAATACTTGCAGAATATGGAAATGATAAGCCGAGAGCTGAGGGATGAAAAGCCACAGCCATTTAAAGAACCTGGGGGAAAACCGAGACAGAGGGACCTGCCAGGGAGGAGATCCTGAGAGAGCACTGTGGTCTGGTCTGTCCCAGGGCTGGTGCACTGCTCTATGGAAACAGGGGGGGAAGGGAGCCAGGAGAGGGAAGCAGAGAACAGGTGGGTGGGGCTAGGCGGCTTAGGGTTCTGTGGGCCATGTAAGAGCTTGGATTTTGTTTTACATTAAATGGGAAGGGGCTAGCACTGTGGCCTAATAAAGCTGCTGCCAGCAGTGCCAGCATCCAATATGGGTGCTGGTTCGTATCCTGGCTGCTCCACTTCCAATCCAGCTCTCTGCTATGTCCTGGGAAAGCAGTACAAGATGGCCCAAGTCTTGGGCCCCTGCACCCACATGGCAGACCCAGAAAAAGCTCCTGGCTCCTGGCTTCGGATCGGCTCAGCTCCGGCCATTGTGACCAATTGGGGAGTGAACCAGCAGATGGAAGACCTCTCTCTCTCTCTCTCTAATTCTGACTTTCAAATAAATAAATATTTTAAAAATAAATAAATGGAAAGTCACCAAGGGTTTTCAATCAGGAAAGTGACACAATCTGATTTATGCCTCTTGAAAGATAATTCAACCTGTGTGACTAGGAACATGGAGATAGCTAATATCAGAAATAAGAAGTCACGTGTGGATGAGAAGATTTGCACAGGGTGGGGGGGGGAATAATGACTCATTTTGGACATGTTGGATCCGACATCTTGTACTTCCTTTTATAGGATCCATGCCCACCCCCCTCAAAGAATTTATGAGTAAGAAAGAATTATAATACCTACCTCTGGAATAGTACAGCCAGATAATTCAGTTGTTGTTTACAAGAACTTGATGTTAGAGGTGCTTGTTGATGATAATGATAATAGGTGCCATGTATCAAGCAGTTCCGTGTCAGGCACTGTTAACCCCATTGCAAACCTCACCTCACTGGCAACACAAGCCTTATTAGAAGCAGAGGTATGGCCTGTGTTTTCCAGCTGGGGACACGAAGGCTGAGGAAGATACAGAGCCCATTGAGGGTCAATCAGCCCGTAAGTGGCAGAGCTGGAACTCAGACCCAGGCCCAGTTTATGCCAAAGCTGTTCCTTCAGGCAACCTGCCACAACACCTGCCTACTGAGACAGGCTGCCTGGGTTACAGAGTATGGCCGTCATTCAGAAAGATCCTGAAGCTGGGCTTCTTCAATGGACCCTCAACCCTGCAGAAACATTCACATTTCACTTCAGTGTACAAATATCTTTGGGAGATAACCTAACTGGATTAACCAGACTCTTTGCCGCGGAGACTCTAGGATTGGTGTTTTGTGAAGAAAAACCTGAGACCTAGTTTTTGGTCCGCTGGGTATGAAGGGAAGGTAGATGGAAATGAAACTTCTTCCCAGGGTATTGGGACTGTAGCTGCTGACAGCCAAATCCAACTCATTTTCCTGGGAGCCAGCGACTCTGCAAGTCCACGGAAGTTTGCTTTTCCAGCAGCTGCAAACTCCAGAACTGTGAACTGAGGCTGCCTTGTTCAGACTTTCACACGGGCCCCTCTGTTCCGTTCACAGAAACTTCTTTTTTCTTAAACATCCCGCATCCGTGGCTCGGGAAACCCAGTCTAGGGCGGGACGAGCCTGAAGGGAACGACGCGCTTGTATAGACGCCCATCTTTTAAAAGGGTCTTAGGCCAGACCCTCTCGGAACTCTGGTAACTACTGCCCACCTTTCAGTGTCTGTGGAAGACAGCACAGGAAAGAAACTGTTGGTTGAGAACAGGTTCCGGAGCAGAGAACCAAGCCCCCGAGGTGCCCCCCGCAACGCCCCACGAGGGTCCCCCGAAGTCCCCAGGGGCCTGGCACGTCAGTCCTCGGACGAGGGAGGAGGCGGCGCGGGGACGAGTGCCCCGCCCCTCCCGGGATAGCCCCACCCCTCCTCGTCCTCCGCCACCGCCCATTGGTCGGTCCGAAAGACGCGGGGCGTTGTCTGTTTGAATGGGAGCGCCTGGAGCTGGGGCGCAGGCGCAGAGGAGGGGAGGCGCGGAGGGCAGGCAGCGGTGTGGGACCCCTGGGCAGCTGAAGGAAGCTCCGGGGAGGCGAGGAGACCGCGGAGCTCTAGCCCACGTGACCTGCAGCGGGAGGGGGAGGGGGCGGGGGCGTGCGCCGGCTCTCTGGGTGCCCCCGCCTGGCGCGGCGCCGGGGCCGCGCGGACCCGCCTGGAGGAGGGGCCCTGACCGCTGGCCGGTCGCCCCGGGCGGCCGCTGCTGCAGCTTCGCCCCGTCGGCCGTGCACCCCGGGACCAGCCTGTCCGCGGGAGGTGAGTTCTGCCGCGGGGCAGGGACTGAGGCATTTGACGGGGGACCTGGCAGGCAGGTGACTGGGAGGGGTGCCTGAGGGAGGCGGCTTCGGTCTCGGGGGTCGAGGGGCGACCGCCTTTGTTCTCGGGGGGCTGAGCTCGGGGCTCGGGAGTGGTCGCGGCGACGGGGCAGTGGGCGCTGCGGGGCCGCGGCATCGCGGGCGTCGGGCTCCGGCACCCAGAAATCGGCGAGGAGCCGCTCGCAGCAGTTCGCACTCTCGCTTGCTTGTTTGTTAATTTTTAGGGCGAGTAAAGCGTTAAGAACTTCCTTTGCTGATTTCTTTTTAAAAGAATCCTAGTGAGTCTTCCCACCATACCAAAAAAGTTGTACTTATGAAATGCATGAAGTTTGTATTCCTTAAATAAAAGGTTTCTTGGGGGGGGGGGGTTTCTAGGATATATTGGCTCCTCACGCATTGTGTGAGCGAGCCAGAAAGTCCGAACACCTGTGGAATTAAATCCCAAATCACTCTTTGTCGTGCGCTTGCTATCCAAACCCGGCCAGTGTTTTGTCAGATATTTGCGTTGTCACGTATTTTGTCAGATACTTGCGAACTTTTGGGCACCAACCTGTCGACTTACTATAGAAATTGGGTAGCAGCTGCAAAAAGCCCAAGCATAAAATGTTAGGAAAACCGTTCCTTATATAAAAGGGAAAAAAAGGAACATCTGCGATTTCTTTACGTTTTCATGATAATCAGTTCGATCTTTCGTCTCGCTTGAATTCCGTTAAAGAAAACGAACAGGGATAGCACTTTTATTTTCCCTAATGCATAATTTATCCTTCGCTGAGCATTCGAAGAGCCCGAGCGGGTTCTCGGCTTGCTTTCTGCCGCCCTGCGGTGCCGCGCCTCGGCGTGCGGCCACCCCGCTGCGTTTGCACGCTGCCGCCCGAGAAAGGTGCACCCAGATCCCCGCTTGGTTACAGCCGGGGTGATTACTGCTGATGAACACCGCTTGTGTTTGGCTGGATTATTCAGAAATAAGTAACATTTGAAAAAAGGGGAAGATCGCTGCTGGTTGACCTGGGTGTGTGCGAGGAGGGTGGGGCTCAGGGACTTCTCTATACCTTTGCCAGGGATTCGTTTCCCCAAGTTACTTCTCGGGCTGTTATTTATATTGGAAGGAGTTTTGTGACGTTGTTGAACAGGCATCAGCATTGGCAAGACAAGCAGTTCAGTTGTATTTTCTTTATTAAATGAGACGTGGTATTAAAAAATGTGTTTTAATGGAAGGGTGAGACTTCATACTAGGCTAATTACAGCAGTGATAGAGTATTGTAATGTGTTTTTTTAAGGAATTTATTGACACGTTAGATTTTCAGAGTCATAGCAAATATATGATAATTACTACAACACGATTCTCATAATAGTTTTTTTAAATACTTTTCTTAAGCATAAAATCTAAGATTTACTTAAAATTTTTTGGAATTAGTTCTATGGAATTTTAAAATTGAAAACCTGATGTAAACTTAGATTATTTTAAATCTGTTCTAACAGACATATCCTAGTTTATAATATAAACCACAATAATTATTGCTGCTAGATTTTATTGAGCACTTTTGTTATATTCAGAGTCAGGCACCTGGTTAAGTGCTTTACATATGATTTCTTTCATCACAACACAGGGTAGATCAGCACCATTGTGCCCACACCAACTCTTGAGAGTTTAACCAGCGTTAAGATCACATAACTAATTACTCACTGTGTTGGATTCAAAACCATGGCCTGGTCCCAAAGCACATGCTGTGTTGTTTTGTGTGTGTGTTAATTTCCATGTGTCCCTGGATTCCATTTGTAGGAACATACTTTAAAAAGATGTCTGTAGGTGGTGTGTTTTGGTGTGAACTATGCAGAAATATTTCAGTCCTTCTTTTAGATCTATCTTGCTTAGATCTATCTTCCTTTCCTTATAAATATATAACATGTTCAATATCTTTTTAGTCATCTTTTTAAAACTTTTATAAATTGAAGAAGACTTTCCTGAGATGATTAAGGGACTATGAATATATTTTTTACTGTGGAGAGAAATAATGTTAAAGTCAGGTTTTCTCACTATTGCAGGATTCTTTGCTACTGCATAGTTTCTCTCTTCTTCCCAGGCAAGAAAAAGCAATGTGTTTGGTTTTGTGAGATGACAAAAGAAAGCTTCTTTTTTGATAGTTATGTTTGGATTTTTTTTTTTTTAAGATTTGTTTATTTATTTGAAAGGCAGTGCTACAGAGAGGCAGAGGTAGAGAGAAAGGTCTTCCATCTGCTGGTTCAGTCCCCAAATGGCTGCAATGGCCAGAGCCGGGCAGATCCGAAGCTAGGAGCTTCTTCCAGGTCTTCTATGCTAGTGCAGGGGTCCAAGGACTTGGGCCATCTTCTGCTATCTCAGGCTGTAACAAAGAGCTAGATTGGAAGTTGAGCAGCCCATATGGAATGCCACCAGTGCAGGCAGCAGCTTTACCCGCTATACCACAGTGCAGGCTCCTCTTTGGAGTTTTTATAGGATCTTTATCTCTTTTGTCTTCCCACTCTGCACTATTTGTTGTCAGTGGTTCGTCTTCTTTGTGAAGATCCAATTTTGCTATTCTTTGGTTGAAAAAAAGATTCCCCAGTGTGTAAATACAAGATCAAGTATGTGTTGCAGTCCCACATTCAGAGTTCCTTGCCATTTGGTACTGTACTGCCTTTTCAGATTCCTCCTAACCCGATATTCTTGTCCTAGAACGCATTCTGTACGATCCCACCTCCTTACTTTTACTTGAGCCATTTCCCTTGATGATAGTATTTTTCCTCCATATAAGATCTACCCATCCAGGAACAGATGTTTGACCTCAGTGGTTAAGACATTCCCTTCCCACTTCAGAGTACCTGGGTTGGATTCCTGACTCTGGTTCTGGACTCCAGTTTCCTACCAGTACAGGGAAGCAGTGATGATATCTAAAGTAATTAGATTCCTGTCACCTACATGGAAGGACTGGATTGAGTTTCTCAGCTGGCTTTGACCCACTTCTGCCCCTGCTGTTGGATTTGGAGAATGAACCGGTGGATGGGAGTCCTATCTCCATTCCTGTCTCTGTGTCTTTCTGCCTCTCAAAAATAAATAAAAAACCGACTATTTGTCCTTCAACGTGTAGTACAGTTTTCCTTGCTTTCGAAGGGTAAAGTTGGTTTTTCTGGGTTCTTTTAAGTTACAAAGTCATGTTTAATACATTTTCCTATAAAAAAATTCTAAACTCAAACTCCCTGGGGACCCTTTTCAGGCATTTGAATCCTTTCCCACTTGAAATTTATTTCTGCTTAATAATTTGAAACAATTGCCGGTGCTGCAGCTCACTAGGCTAATCCTCCGCCTTGCGGCGCCGGCACACCAGGTTCTAGTCCCAATCGGGGCGCCGGATTCTGTCCCGGTTGCCCCTCTTCCAGGCCAGCTCTCTGCTGTGGCCAGAGAGTGCAGTGGAGGATGGCCCAAGTGCTTGGGCCCTGCACCCCATGGGAGACCAGGGTAAGTACCTGGCTCCTGCCATCGGATTAGCGCGGTATGCCGGCCACAGCGCGCCGGCCACGGCGGCCTTTGGAGGTTGAACCAACGAAAAAAGGAAGACCTTTCTCTCTGTCTGTCTGTTTCTCTCTCACTGTCCACTCTGCCTGTCAAAAAATAAAAAAAATAATAATAATTTGAAACAATTTAAAATATTTCAGTTCTGTTAAGAGAACTGATTTATTGTTATTTACCAACTCAAGGACAATGTTTAGTAGAATGGACTACTTCTTTTCTGTTTCACTGTTGAATTTTAAAATTATTGTGCATAGTAGCTGGCATTTGGCATGGTGGTTAAGACCTGCTTGGGATGCCCACACCCCACACTGGAGTGGCTGAGCTCAAGTTCTGGCTCCACTCCTGATTCCAGCTCGCTGCTGATGCAGTCCTGGAAGGCTGTAGTTGATGGCTCAAGTACTTGCATTCCTGCCATCCAAATGGAGGACCCCAGTTGAATCCTTAGCTTCACCCTGGTCCAGTCCCAGCTATTGTGGGCATTTGGGGAGTGAGCCAGTAGATGAGAGATAGCTCTTTCTCTCTGCCTTTCACATAAAATAAATGATCATATATTATCTTGTTGAAGCTGGTGAATGACCAATATTGTTATAGCTGTCCCTTCTTATCTGTGGACAATACATTTCAAAACTCCCTGGAGTTACCTGAAATCTTAAGATAATACCATACTATGTATACTGTATTTTCCCTATATAGGCATACCTGTGGTAAGGTTTAATTTATAAATTAGGCACAGTAAGAAATTAGCAAATAATGAGATAGAAAAATTTTTAACAATATACCATAATAAAATTGCCAGCATCTATACTATTGTATTGTCGGGGCCATTATTAAGGAAAACAGGGGTTTCCCTTTTTTTGGAATTGATTGATTGAATGATTTATTGATTTGAAAGGCAGAGTGTAAGAAAGAGAGG